ATCTATCTATCTCTTCACAGTTGAGGGTCTGAAGGCTGTGGAGATAGAAAAATGCAAGTCGGAGATTTCGTACATCCGGGATCAGCTATGGAATGCGCAGAAGAAGTATGTTGATTTCAATAGATTGAGGTATGATCGTATAGCCAGTCATACCTGATAGTCTCTACAGATTTATGCTGTCGGGGTGTATCAGACAGATTAATGCTGTGTGCATCAAACTGGTTAATGGTGTGTGTTAAACCGATTAACTGAGCATAGATTTATGTTAAACCGATTAACTGAGCACAGATTTCTGTGAAACAGATAGATTAATCGAGCTCAGATTTGTGTTAAACCGTTGACTCACCAAAGACTTATTATGTCAATCTGGTTTTAACTGGCCCCAGACTTACGTCAAAGCGCTTAACCAAGCCCAGATATATGTTTGACCAGTTAACTGAAAACAGGTTTATATTAAACCGGTTCACTCTTCACAAATAATATATTATGCCAAAACGATTAACTGGCTATATATTACACCGGTTAACAGACCCCAGATTTATGTCAAAGTGACCACAGATGTATTGTTAGCTCAGAATCTGACATTTTTGGCCTTTTTGACTTACGAAGAACATGAGGTCAGAAATCAAATGCTCTATCAGCTCAATCAAAATCGTAAGATTATTCGAAGTCGTTATCAAAATAATCAAAGATTTGCTTTCGAAAACTCTTGAAATATTGTGAACTTCAAATTTTTGTACGTCAAATTAAAAAAAAACTAGGCACTGAGCAGATAGAAATGTGTAATTCTGAGGTAGAGGAATATCCAAACCGTTAATGAACCTCATGTTTATGTTCCTGTGGTGTGTCAACTCAACTTATCACAGGTGTGAACTGACAGAGTGCCGGCGGTGCGGTCTTAATGACCAAAACTATGTGTTACTATTGTTCTCAACTGCACATGCTATTGTAGTGAGTCACCGTGAGGATGTTCCGCGCAGTTTATCGATCAGAGCAATCTCAAGATTACGTTTTAACTATCATATAATTGCATGGCAATCTTAAGATTGCGCTGCGCAGTTGTTGGGGGGGGGT